GACAGTCGTATTGTTGCATTAGTAGGACAGTCGTATTGTTGCATTAGTAGGACCGTCGTATTGTTGCATTAGTAGGACCGTAGTATTGTTGCATTAGTAGGACCGTAGTATTGTTGCATTGGCAGGACCGTAGTATTGTTGCATTGGCAGGACAGTAGTATTGTTGCATTAGTAGGACAGTAGTATTGTTGCATTAGTAGGACAGTAGTATTGTTGCATTAGTAGGACAGTAGTATTGTTGCATTAGTAGGACAGTAGTATTGTTGCATTAGTAGGACAGTCGTATTGTTGCATTGACAGGACCGTAGTATTGTTGCATTAGTAGGACCGTAGTATTGTTGCATTAGTAGGACCGTAGTATTGTTGCATTAGTAGGACCGTAGTATTGTTGCATTAGTAGGACCGTAGTATTGTTGCATTAGTAGGACCGTAGTATTGTTGCATTAGTAGGACAGTAGTATTGTTGCATTAGTAGGACAGTAGTATTGTTGCATTAGTAGGACAGTAGTATTGTTGCATTAGTAGGACAGTAGTATTGTTGCATTAGTAGGACAGTAGTATTGTTGCATTGGCAGGACAGTAGTATTGTTGCATTAGTAGGACAGTAGTATTGTTGCATTAGTAGGACCGTAGTATTGTTGCATTAGTAGGACCGTAGTATTGTTGCATTAGTAGGACCGTAGTATTGTTGCATTAGTAGGACCGTAGTATTGTTGCATTAGTAGGACCGTAGTATTGTTGCATTAGTAGGACCGTAGTATTGTTGCATTAGTAGGACCGTAGTATTGTTGCATTAGTAGGACCGTAGTATTGTTGCATTAGTAGGACAGTAGTATTGTTGCATTAGCAGGACAGTAGTATTGTTGCATTAGTAGGGACCGTAGTATTGTTGCATTTGTAGGACAGTAGTATTGTTGCATTAGAAGAACAGTAGTATTCTTGCATTAGTAGGACAGTAGTATTCTTGCATTAGTAGGACAGTAGTATTACCTGGCTTGAAGTCGCTGTCGAACATGGCCTTGCGGCCCACGTAGTACTTGTACGTGACCTTCTGGGCCGGACTGTAGTCGTTTTTCAGGTTGGAGCTATCGATGGCTCTGATCAGAGGCTTACACAGGTGGAGCTTATTAATCTAATGAGGAGGACAGTTTTCATCAAAAGTCGCTTCTACATGTGCATGTATAGATAGAGATGTACATATGTGTGTGTGTACATGCAGACCTTGAAGTAGATCTTGAAGAGCTGGTTGCTCAGAAACATCATCCCCCACTTCTTAGAGTCCTCGATGCCGGCTCGACTGAGGGCCCAGAGCAGCACCAGGGTTACACTGGCCCCTTAAAGTACTCTGATCTGATACTTCAGTGAATGTAGGGATACTACAGCAGTAAAAGGGCTGCAGTCAACTTAAGTACAATTATGTAATACTTGAAGTATACCATCAAGACTTGTGGTCTTGATTCTTGTTGTTCTGGTTGTTAAACACACTTATTGCTCGCTCTGGATAAAAGCTTCAGCTAAATGCAGTCCGTGTGGATTTCTACTGCATATATGTATATAGGTCTACTTTTCCTGTGTACAGGTGTACCTGTTCTGTGTATAGTCGTGGTTGTCCTGTGTATAGATGTGCGTGTATTGTGTATAGGTGTACTTGTACTGACTTGTCGCTGGCACAGACTCTGAAGCAGCTCATCAGCTGTTCTGCTGCTTTCTCCAACATCTCACCAGGCTGACCTTTGCCCTTCTTCTGCAACTGCTGCTCTGCCTACACAAACACACACAGACAGGTCAAAGGTCGTTAGGCACTGGCTGAACTGATATTAGTGTTTCTCTTTGTGATTTTCTTACGTTGTTGGCAAATATCCTGAGATCCAGAGTGACGGTGAACATCATCGGTAGAGCCCTGAGACACAAAAATCAAGCGGTTCCCCTTCACCTGCAGTCATTGTGCTAAGCTAGGCTATCGCACATGTACTCACCAGTTCTCCTCTTTGTGCGACTGGAAGGCCCTCAGGAAGGACGTGATTGGTCAAGGAGGGATCCACTATTGATGACTGGTGTGTTTGAGTATGTGTGAGAGACTGCATGTGTGTACATCATGAAGGATATTGAACGACGAGAGTCTGGAACTTGTAAGCTTCAACAAAGTCGTGGTTGGACACGGCGTAGATACACCTGCAACACAAAGTCCTGTTACTGTAGTTACCACCTCCGCACAGACGCACGCACAGGTCATCCGATTGGCTGTCCTACCTGAGGTGGGCAGCAACCATCTCATCATACGGTGGCTCCAGGAGCTGTTGACATTTTTCTTCTGGACTGGCCAGCTGTCTCACACACACACACACACACAGAATGATGAAGTTGTATCCTAGCAACCACCTAAATGTCTACATGAGTGGGCGGAGCCTCACCTGGAGCCGGGGGTTGACGACGTGTGGGTGCTTGAACGAGAGCAGCTCGGCGCAGAAGGAGCCCTCGTGGTTGTCGATGGCCTCGTACACCTGCAGCAGAGAAACACCACCGAAGAAGAATGGTGTAGTTGAGCAGCCCCCCTCCCTCCTGCCGGTCACATGGTGTGGATGCACAGAAAGCGGGTCTTACCTCCTGCAGGTACTGGTTGATGGTGACGTGGGCCATGACAGCTGCTGGACAAGGAGACACAAGTTCACGAGTACTTCAGTCACAGTAATACCAACTCATGGTTCTTACATTCACAAAATATACCACCTATTCTAAACAGTATTAATTAACATATAAATACTGCTGCAACTAAAAATAGCTAATAAATAATCTTTCATCCATAAACTGAAAAACGTCCATGTATTTCGCACCAATGCGTTTGACGTTACAATGAGACAATTGGGGAAAATACACCTTTAAAACATTATTAAACTTCAACCGAATCTAAATAATGACGCCGAATAATGTTCAGTCAATTGATTAATCATTACGGCTGGGAATAAACCGAGCTTTCATTTTAAAAGGTAATTACTGACGTGTAATTATTATTTTACCATCAAACCTAGCATGCGAGCTAACTATCCGTAGCACTGTTAAGTCAACGGTTTTTAGTATTACAAACTGATACATCGCTTTTTTCAGACTTTAAACCAAAAACCAAGATTCCAGTAAAATGTATAAATGAATATAAATGTAAATTACCTTTAATATGAAGCAATGGCCCAGAAACGAACCGTTTCAGTTCACTCAACGTTCTTCTGTTTGGACAAAATGCTACCCGGACAATTTCCGGGTCGATTAGGTCTGCTTCCGGTGATGTTTCAGAATAAGATGAAAGAAATGGGTCTGAAGTCGGATTTTATAATTAACCAACATAAATGTCGTCTTTTACTATTTATATTATTATGAGTGAGTAATTTCTAAGTTAAAATGCACGAACAAATAAATGAATATGTTGAATACAAAAACAGTAAAAGGGTACTGGAGTATTGTACACTGTGGTGGAGGTTTGAGGAAGAGGGAAACAGAAGACCCCCTGCAGGAGGAAGATTAGTTGTAAACAGATGTTGTTGGGAGACACCCGTGTCCCTCCTTTAATGGGATCTCAATCATAATTGACAGACTAAGTGGACGGAAGGTGAGAAGACCAGGATACGAATCAGTCCAGGCACCTTCCAAACAAGATGCCATCGTGAACTACGTCAGGTCACCAGTTTCCCAAGAAAGGTTCTTGAGACAATATGCAGCTCAACAAATTCTCCCCCGACATACACATTGTACACAAACTGTTTAGTGTAAATGATGGTTTAATGTCTTTCTTTACTAAACCCATGAGTCAAACACGTAGTTCAGAGACCTGCTACTTGCAGTTCCACATTTATATAATTCAGACTTATACTTTAGATCTTAACCACATCTTTTATTAATTTCTTTTTGTATGATTACACTGTTCCGGGGGATATTTCTGATGAACTATAAAATACAACAATCAAACGGTTTCCTTCAAACCTTTATTCATACAAAGCATAAAAAACAACATTTCCCCAAAGAAAACCGAATTTCTTAGGTATAAAACTGTAGAATTTAGATAAATAATTCTTTTGACGAATTAACTCTTTCATTAGAAGCAGCAACTCAATTGGTTGGCTTGAAACACTGCTGATCACTGTACAATATGAATAAACAGGTTTAAAAGACAGACGGAATCCACAACATCATTGTAGTGTTTTTATGTCACCATTAACAGCTGAAATAACATAATATGTAGTTATTGATTTATAGAAGTAATGACGAGCCATTCAAAGTGTCCACCAATCACCAATACAGACCACCAGTAGCCAATGGTGGCTACTGTTAGCATTTACAACATTTACAGCTAGTAGCCAAAGATGAATACTGGGAACCTCAAACATATACTAGTAGCCACAAATAGATACTAGTAGCAAACAATATATATTACTAGCTACCAGTAGATGCTGACTATTTGTGTCATATATATTAGTACAAGAACAAAACAACCAATACATAACTAGCCACCACTGGATATAAGTATTCACCTGTAGAAGACCAGAAGATACAAGTAGACAAGAGTTTACAAGTACTATATGTACAATCAGTCACACGTAGATACTAGTAGCTACAATATATTATCCAATAGTGAGAAGGAGACACCAGATGTACCTCAACCTAGTGAGAACAAACAGCTAGTACTAAATACTAGTCGTCTCCAGTAAATATTAGTAGCCACCAGTAATAACTGGTATTTATAGAAAGATATTGATACTCAGCAGCAGTGATCTGCTGGCAAACTTCCACTTCAGCCAATCACATCCACCCTCAGAAGGAGTGGCCGGGGCCTGGAGGCCATGCGGCGACACCTACGCGGCCATGACTGGGCGGCTGCATGACGCTCTCGCTGCTGATTGGTCCGTGGAGGGCTGTGCAGGGGGAGTGGGAGGGGCTTGGCTCACCGCATCCAACCGTCCACAGACATGGATACTGACTGAATACAAGCACATATACATATGTATATAAATACACATGTATATGTGTATATACGTATATATATATATACACATATATACATGTATATATTTCATCATATAACATTCATGTTAATAAGGCGTGTTGCTCACCTGGAGCTGTGAGGAGTGGGAGGCTGTGAGGACGGGGCGTTGTGATTGGTGGAGGAGGTTGGTCGAGGGGAGGAGCTACTCCACCTGTCTGATAGCACCTGGACACCTTCAGACAAACAAACTGACCCCCCCCCACACACACACATTAGTCTTTTAAAGTAAATAAGGGCATGGATCTACGAGTCTGTATATTCCCTTTGTATGAATATATAAAGTATAAAACAATCCATTAGTATAAATACGGGTGCATGTTTATTGCACGGCGGTAAACACACACACACAAAAGTACCTGAGGCGTGTGGGCGTGGCGGCATGTAGGGGGAGGGGTAAGGTGCGTGTCGTCCCGGGTAACCGTGGTGATGGTGTGAGCTCAGTGGGAGACCACCACCGTAGGGGTAAGCTCCGCCCCCTCCAGCAGAGCACAGTGACCAGCCTGACACACACATATTAATAGTATACATACACAATACATTCATTTAAAATAAAATGTATAATATTACATTTCTAAGAAAACATTAAACAAATTGAAATGTTAATATTTGGTTTTGGCTTTCTCATAAGCAATTATTTAATTTCATGTTTGATTATCTAAATAATTCTAATTAAAATACTGAATGTAAACATGGAGCAGTAACACAATTTGATTTTTAGAAGCAAATTTTGATAGATGTATATATTTCATGCCATATAGCATATATATATATATATATATATATATATATACATACACACACATTAATTTTTTCTGAATTTATTTCCAAATATGAAACGATTCTCTTTTTAAATGAATTTATAAGATCAAAGGAATAAAAATATGTTCTGGACTCACAGGGTTGAATCCCAACGCAACTGTCTGAGGACTCCGGTAAACCCCGCCCCCCCGGGTTCCTGAGATAGGTAAATCAAACGCTACCATCACACGGTCAGACAGTGTGTGTGTGTGTGTGTGTGTGTGTGTCACGCGTGAGCTAATGCTAACTTCTCATTGTAGATCTATTTCTTACTGTGCATATCTATTTATTCACTTATTACACTTTACATTTGCACTCACTCTGCACTTTTTGCTACTTTGCACTCTGGTCGGGTGTTAAAGTGCATTTCGTTGCCTCAGTACTTGAACCCTGTGCAATGACAATAAAGTTGAATCTAATCTAATATCCAGGTGAGAAGCGATCTGCTGACTGACACCTCCTTCATTCTTTCACCTCCTAATACTACAAGTACACAAGCGGTAGGAGCTCCATGTAGTTAAAGTAAAAGTATACAAGTATTATCAACTTCATGTAGTTAAGTATGTAATATTATTCTATACGTTTATCATATGTTGTTTGATGTAAACAAGAAGAACAGAATCTGTGAAGGAATTAAAACCCCAAGAAGTAGTAAAAAGGAAGTACTTCTATAGTACAGCAGCAGGATACATTTACTGAGTAATAATGACTTTATTCACATAATTAATAAAGCAGACGAGGCCTCACCGGTCCTTTGCATCCAGGAAGGCTTTAGCAAAGGGGTTGTACCTGATCTTCAGAGCCGTGACCTGCACACGCACACACGCACACGCACACGCACGCACACACACACACACACACGCACACACACACACACACACACACACACACACACACACGCACACACACACACACACACACACACACACACA